TAAATTTGAGTCTCTCGTACTCAGGGCTAAACCCATGTCTTAGTTAATACAGCAGACCTAGAAGATGAAGTTTGTGTTTCTCAGAGCCCTCCTCCATGCTCCTGTGCTCCAGGCCAACCTTGTAGGACAAACCAGATGGAGCAGCGGCATTGTTCTCTTTCAGATGGATATGAGGGCCTCTGGACCGGCATGCATGGACCATCAGGGCCAAGTGGGGCTCACCAAATGGGAGTTACTCGGGACCACTGGGCCAGGAACAGTTATCTTGATCCTCCAGGTAGATATCCTGTTGACATGCTCGTTGCATGAAAAGAAAGTAGATCCAGCTACTGTGGTCCTTACCCCAACCTACTAGGATTTCCAGGAGACCGTGAACTTCTTAAAGGAACTCAGCTTATCCGTGCTCATGTGCCTCACACAACACAGCGCCCAGCCCAGGATGGACGGGCATTCGTTAGCAACGTTTCAGGGCAGACAGGTGTGATTTCCCTGAGTGACTAGATGAGCTGACGGTAATTCCCCGAGGGTGGTCATGCTATTTTGGTTATGTATCGAAATGTCCTTCTTAGAAGTTTTAGACTGAAGTATTTGCAGGTGAAGGGCTGTAAGTCTGAAACTTAATTTCAAAAGATTCAGCAAATAAATAAATAAATAAAAAGCCCTGGTGGCACAAACGGTTAAGCACTCAGCTGCTAACGGAATGTCAGTGGTTTGAACCCATCCAGCGGCTACGTGAGAGAGAGACCTGGTGACCTGCTCCCGTAAAGATTTCAGACTAAGAAGCCCTATGGGGCAGTTCCACTCTGTCCTATCGGGTCTCCATAAGTAAGAAGCAACTCGACAGCACCCAACACCACCGCCATATCTCTGGGTAGTCGATTTTGCCATAACACTGGCCAAATTTGTTCCCATGTAATTGATGTATTAGGGGATAATTGAGCCCAGGCGTTTCACATTGCATGGTCTTGATCATGACAAACACAGGTGAGGGAGAAAGCTGGGGCCAGCTGAACCGAGCCTGGTAGGAATACACAAAACACACCCAGACACACACCTAAACACCTACCAGCTCCCCCTGTCCACAGGGTGGGTGGTGACAA